AAATGCATCTCTCTAATTTGAATTTCGGAACCTGAGATATTGCCATCAATGTACCTCCTGAATTAAAACAAAAAAAAGTACTTCCTTATGTGCCCACTTTACTTGTATATGTAAGTCAGAAAGGCAAAAAAAGTATAGTTTTGAAAAAATGACTAATTTCTTGTATTTTCAAATTGAGGCATCATAAGTATTCTAGTTTAAGAATAAGATGTAAAAAAAACTTATTTGTAAGTAAAAAGAAAAAAAATATTTGGAAACTGTACGTTAGTTTAGTTTTTAAAAGATTTTGTTACTTACTGTGTTTTCGAAAAAGTTAAATCAATTAAAAACAACCGTTACAAGAGTGTACTGAAAAGTTCTCGACCTGACAAAGAAGGAATTTCATACACAATTCTGTTATTTGGTTATTTTACCATTCGGGGAACCTGTCGAAACAAGAAAAATCACAAAACAGAATGAAAGAAAAAACTTTATCCCAATAAACGAACTCAATGTGAGCATGCGCAATGTTACCGGAAGTAAACGTTAATTGTTTTTTTTTCAAACGAAGCGCCGTTGTCGGATTTGAAATTTTAAAAAAAAGTCTTAAACTTTTGTATGTGTCTTCGCGGAAGCTTGTAAGTAACAATAAACCAATTTCTCTTTTAATTTTACATTAAAATTTTACCTTTGTAACGAATATCCTTGGTTAAATGAATTTAACTCTCTTTTTTTATTTAGTCCTTGTGAAAGACTTAAACTAACAAAATATCCGAATCCCGCCATCTATTTACCTTCTTACTCACACGCGCTTCAGTTCCTTGTGATTTCAAAACAACAAAATGCTTGAAAGTTTCTTTTTGATTTCTTCGTATTTTAATTTTGATGTAAAAATCGGAATAGAGTCCTTACAAATATAATTTTTACTGCCAAAATGTCTTTTTTTTACATAAACTGTAAACAAGTTATAGAAATAGTGAATTACGAATCCGATTAAGTAAGAGTAAGAAGATTCATTCCATGGAATGTTAACGAACTTACAGCAGGTTAGAATACATAGAAAACAGAATATAACATTTTCGTAAAAGCTGAATATACAAAAAGAAGCTTAAATTTAACTAACAAAATAGCTATTTTTTGCATCGAACAAAATTAAATAAAGGAGAAAAATGTAACTTTACGGCTGGATTTAAATCCCGTTTTTTACGTTGACGGTTAAAAACTGGAACCTAGAGGATTTATATATTGGATTGGATTTTATATTGAATTGAAGGTTACGTTTTATAATGTATTGTAAAAGTTTTTTATGTTTTTATTTTCGTTACTTTTTTAAATAAATAACTTATTATTGGTAACAGTTTTTAAAAAATGAAACTAAAACCAATTATAATTTCTTGATTCATGTTTCCAGTCAAAAAATGAAGAACTGGTTCTTACAAATAAACAATGAAAATATTCAAATACTACCATCCCATTTCTGATGTCTTTGTACGTTTTCACAAGATCCCTATTTTGTACGATTGCCTCTTTTTTCTATACAAGTAAACATTGTTTAAAATAGGTGTCGCCACTAATTCGCTTAAATAAAAAGAGCATATCAAAATGAAAAATGCCCCCCCCCCCATTTATCGTCAAAATCTTTGTTAGTAAAGTATTTTTTTTTTATCATTATTTTTTTAAAACCCTTTTTAGAACGTTCGAAATATAGGTTAAACATTTTATTATTCTTGCGGGTGGGACAAAGAGTGTTTGTGTGTTTTTTTTTTTTTGTTGTTGTTTTTTTTTTTTTTTTGAAAATCACAAATTCTTGCAAAAAAAAAGCGAATTCAAGTAATTGTCGAATTTTAATGAAACTTTCAGGACTTATTCACAAATGAATGGAATTATTTTAGGAATTTTCGTTAGTTTTTTTAGGGATATCAACATTAATTCATTTTTTAAAATGAAAAATCCTTAAAGCTTTTTTTTAATTTCAAGCTAATAAATTTAATATTTCCAGGAAGCAAAATATTTTGCTGTATTTAAAAAAAAAAAAAACTAATTAAATTGACTGGAAGATTTTTTTAAGTTGACTTTCATTGCCATGTAATTCTCTTTATTAAAAATCTTCCGAAAATGAAATATGCTTTTCTGAAACTCTATTTGAGGAGTATTAACTGATTTAACGTATAATTAAAATCTAATTTGAAACAAATCTTACTTATTTTAATTTTAAAATATTGCAGTAATACATTTTTTTTTAACTTGACAGTAGCTGTCTTGACACATCTAATGTTCTACAGAGACTTTCTGTAAAACATAGTTGAAGAAAATGATGTGGGCCCCCATTTTTGCATAATTGAAAGTACTCAGTAATCTTTAAAATTTATGAAAATTTACTAATGTTTTATTGAATCTTAGAAATGTTAGAATCTTAAATTTACTATAGTTATTGCTCTTATTTTCTGATAATGTGTAATGATTGTTCATACTTACAAAAATCAGTATACATAGAAAAATTTTTTAAATTCCTTTAAAAATATGTGTTTGATGATTTGTACTAAGGTTTTTTTGTAGTTTTCACTTAATATCATCTAAAAGGCTGAAATTAATACAGATTTTATCCATCTGTTGACACAAGAAAAACAGTATTTTTAACCAAAATTTCAAACATGCTAGAAAGGATTAAAAAATAATAAAAAATACTTTTTGGTCTTTCTTCTTAATGATGATAAAACTTTGTTTTAATCACTTTTGAGGGCTTTTTTTCTTCATGTTATGCTCTTTTTTAGAAGATTTTTGGAGATACCTAAAAGCAAAACTTCTCGGAGAATTTAAATCATCATTTTTTATTTATTTATTTATTTTTTTTTGTAAATGAGAAACACCAGTTACTGAAAATCTGCTTTGAATCCTAAAATAAAAAGTGCAATAAAACTAAGACATTATTTAATTAGAAAAGCTTTTAATTGCTTTTATCATAAAAAATTTATGAAAAAAAGATATATTAAGGTAGGTATCTCCACAGATTTGTGATATTTAAGGTTTAAAATGAATTTTTAAAAATGAAAAATGTTTTTTAGAGCTTTTATTTTAGTTTTCATTTCAAGCTGACTGATTAAATTTAATATTTCCAATAAGCAAAATACTTTTCTGTATTTCAAAACAAACTTAAATTAATTGAAAAGAGTTTTCGTTTTTAAATTGCTGAAATTTTTTATTTTAGTGACATTTTTAACCATCTGTCATCATGATGTAATTCTCTTTATTAAAAAAAATCTTCCAAAAATGAAATAAACTTTTCTGAAACTTTAAGGAATATTAGTTCTCTGAGACTAAGCTCACCATTATTTATTTTCAAGTAGATGTTCATCTTAAGAAGGTTTACCAAACTTGGGGGCTTGTTCTGCTTTGAAATTGATGATTAATAATTAAAAGTATTATTTGTCAGCCTAACTGTACTAACAATAGAATTAACTTAGAACTTAAGCATATGTTCCAATCACACAAATAACCTGCACTTATTTCTAAATTATTTCATTGGTTGATTTTGATAACTCCTCCTCTTAACACTTCCCTTTATATATTTTACAGTTTATTAAAAGTTATTTTGAGTTAACATTGATAAAAACAGCCATCAGTGCAATTTGACATTATGGCAAAAAATAGATCAAAAGTCTACCATACTTTGCCATTAAAAGAAGTATTCATTGTGAAAATTTGAAACTTACTAATTTTGGGTTGATGAATTCAACAAAACAGCACTTTTCTCTTTTTGTAATTTATGCATCTTATTTTGGAATATTTTGTGAAATTATGTAATTTTTAACTCATCAAAGACAGGTCAGTAATGATTACAAAATTTAGAAATTTGTTTTACAAAAGAGAAACAAATACTTTATAATTGTGCTTTTAAGCAAAGAATAAGTATTTTTTTACAAAAAACAATATTTTAAGAATTTTGAATTTATTTTCATTTGTCATCAAGAATGGAGGTTCAGTGAATGACTGTGACAGTGTTTTAAAAAATGTCTAAGTTAAAACCTTATTCAAATACATAATTTTTTTTTTTTTAATGCAAATAAGCTTTAGGCTGTTATATTTCAAATAGAAAAATATTAACTTCAAAGGAGACATTTAATTTGAATGTGTTTTAGTTCAGTATGTTTGTAGTGATACTTGACCATTAAAAGTTCAATTTTTATGGGCAAATGAGTATGAGCAAAATTTAAAGAACTAAAAGCATACCTAGTTTATTATTTTATTATATAATTTAAAAAACCCCTATGAAATTGTCAACTTTGAAAATAAGGAAAATTGCTGTCATTGATATAGTGACGTAATTTAAAAAGATGTGGAATAAAAATTAAGCATAACTTGAGAAAGAATTTTATCTTTATAAAGAGAAAAGATCAAATTTTGTTTATGTACTGATTTTATCAAAATAGCCTTGAAAATAAATGAAATATGAGCAGTTGAAATGAAAAGAAATTTCATATTTTGACACGTGTTCACACTGTAAACTAAGACAGTTTGGAACACCTACTATAAGAGTCTTGTTCTATGCAGATTTTTTGCTTGCTTATGTTTAAAAATGATAAGAATGTTTCTATTTATATCTAATCTTGAATTACTTTCCCATCCAACTTAAATTTGATAGTTTATATTATCTAATCAATTTTTTTCAGTTATTTAATAGAAAAGTTTTTTAAAATTATAAGCATTTTCTTCACACTGATAAGTATAGTAAGTTAAATATGATAATGTCTTTATCTTTTAACATTATAGAAGGAATAAAAGCTTATTTTTATTGAAATTAATTTCAATTTATCCCTCAACAATGTTTCATTTCAGTACAGAATCCTTTCTTGTAACATGAAAGTTGGATTTTAAAAATTCATTTTGAGTTTATAAATCAGACACATTCATACTCAGCATTCATTTTTTTTTTTTTTTTTCCTATAGGTAATTATATTGGTTCAGTCATTAATTTGATTCCTCTACAAAACAGCCACAGTATGGTTTCAGAAGAGATTAAGCAAATGACTAATGAGGATTTGGCTACAGCTCTGAAGAATTTGGGGGTGAGAGTTGGGCCAATTACAGGTATTATTTTGTTTTCATCTCTCTTTAATGTTAAGCATTTCAAAACATCTTTTATACTGCAAGATGTTTTCTTTGCACCAAACATTTAAAAAAAATATTGCACTTCCATTGACACATAATAAACAACGATTCAATGGGAAGATTGTAGTTTTTGATATAAGTAAAAGCATATTGAAAAAAAAAATTGCAGTTTGCATAAATGACATTTGTAAATTTAAAGGCACTGAAATCAAGGTGAGAATAATAATTACAAATCTATTTAAATAAAATATTTTTTGTTTTAAAAATAAAATACAGCCATCTTCATTTTACGCTGTTTTTTTTTTTTAAGACAGGGAATTATTATTATATGCCTTTTAATTCAGACTAGTATAATCATTTTGGATGTTATATTTACACTGTTTTGACCACTGTACTCTACAGCCTTCTTCAGGTGTTTGTTGTTGTACTCTACATAGGATGGAATACACAAAGTTGTTACATGGAAAGTAAAATTAGAACACGCTACCTACTTAGATTGAATAAAGAGTTTGCTTAAAAATTCCAATAAAGTTATAACTGCAGACACTGAAGAAGGTCAGGGATTCTAGTCAAGACTATTTAGAATATTTTTTATTGTGTAAAAGTAATCCTTTTCAGTTTTTAAGTAATTTTTATCTGTTGTTAGGTAATTGTTTGCTTGGTTCGTACGTTTTCTCAATTTATTTTTTTTTTCTTTTTAGATACTACACGAGTTGTCTATGAGAGGAAACTTGCTCGAGTGCGACAGGAAATGCCCCAAGAAACAGCTCCTGCAGGTACAAAAGGAGATACTCATTTGTCATATCTTTGTGTAGAAAAAAATGAATTTAATATGTTTAGATCTTTTAAACAGTTCAGACCAACATTCTCTTTCATAAGCAACACATCCTGATTCTCACTCTTACTTTGTGAAATTACTGTTAAAGTGTTTTCTTTTCTATGTTTTAAGAAAAAAAATACAAAATGTAAAAATGAAATTACTATTCAATATGATTTTTTTTCTTATGCTCAGACAAATCATATCATTGGCATTACAAAAAGATTGTTCATTTTAGTTTCATTGTAATACGAACATTAAATTTTATTTAAAAAAGTGGCCAAGTAGAACTTTATAACTTTTTTTTTTTTTTTCCCTGCTTTTCTGGAATTTTTAACAGTAAATGCCAAAATTTATTGCAACTTACTAATTATACACTTTTATTGCATATATTGGCACAAGGTGGTTTGTTTACCACGTATACTTGAAAGTAGGCCACATCTTTTCTCAAACAAAATTTCAATAAATATCATGGGTACGGCCTATCCACTCAACATTATAGAGAATGTGAAATAGACACTGGCATATTAGTAGCCCAGGGGAAGTACCCTGGGGTCAAGCATAAACAAGGCTCAAGGTGGAAAATTAACTTTTCTCGTCATTTTGATTTTATACAATCACCTCTTCCAACAGTACCACATCACACAACAAATAAAAGTGCTCAATCTGCACTGCTGATATTTATCATTCATTATCTAATTTACAACAAAAGACTCATTTTCAATTGATTTTAGGACTGAAGCAATTACCAGTATCCAAATTTTCATCTAAACACAGCAGTAAATACCATGCAATTAAAACCAATCCCTTTTCTCATGTTTTAATATATGTAAGCAAAGTTTTGAAATAAATGTGAATATTTTACAAATATTAATTTTATTTATATTAAAAAAAGGCCATGTAACTCCCCAGATTATAGTGCAACCTCTGTGAGTCAACCACAAAAAAAACCCCACTTTAACAACCCCAAGCTAAGAATGCAACCTATAAGGTACAGTGTAACCCGGATATAAGAGAGATTTTCTCTGGTCCCAAAGTGTTCCCATACTTACCTAAACAAAATAGACCAAACCCGGATATAAGAGAAACCCGGATATAAGAGACTTCTTCTCCGGTCCCAACAACTCTCTTATATCCTGGTTATACTGTATTTACTTTTCTGTCCCAGTCCAAATTGGTTGATTTCTGGTGATTGTTTTGCATAAATTCTTTCTGTTGTAAAATTTACTTAACTACTACATGATTGATTCTGTTTCAATATGATTTTAAATTTTGATAAATTTTTAATTTGGTCTACTTGTTATTAATTTCTACTCATGTAGTCTTTATTAATGATTGTATTTTGACTGAGGTGCTGAAATGTTCTTGGTCTGGCCAAGAATTAAATAAATAAAAAAATTTGATGTTGGCTATTTGATTAGATTTTGGGAACTGGGTCTGGCTCAGAACTTTTTTACATCTCTTTATATGAAAATGACAAGAAAATCTCTGCTTTTGAGCAAATTTTTCATTAGGTTTGTATGGAAATCTAAAATGGCAAATCTTTTACCTTAAAGAAATTAATTTGGGTTAATGACTTTTTTTAACAGAATTTGAAGAGGAGGAGGAGGAAGAAGAAGAAATTTTATCTGGATCTGTACGTGAAGAGGCGACCTCAGAAAGGTAAGGATATTTTTTTTGATAACCTGTCGTTTTTCCTTCTCTTCCTCTTTCTATCATTTCATTTATGACTGCAAGCATTTATAGACAATGACAAGAACAATTATTTTACATTGTATTTCAAGGAGACCCGCAATGCCCTTAACTAATTGGTAAGGCTAAAATTGCAGCCCTACTAACATTTTTTTTTAACTGGTATAAGAAAAAAGTAATTTTCACTGATACCAGCAACTAAGCTATTTAAACAAGAATAAAATCATGGAAGATATGGATGACGTCATTTTTTTTGACTATTTTAAGTTCAGTTTCAACTATCATAACCTTAAAGTTATTAAATTATAAATAGAATTTTCATTATCCTTACATGAATTAGCCATTCAATTAAGATTTAGCAAATACCCTAAATATTACAACTATTATTTATTTAAAAAAAAAAAAAAAAAAAAAATTTAAAGAGGGTTGAAAAATGTCAATTTCCTGTGTCGGCATGGTGATTTTTTTATATTTTAATTTTTATTATACATGTCATCTTCCAGTTTTGGTTCTATTTTTTCTTATATAGGATATATATATATATATATATATATATATATATATATATATATATATATAGTACTTGAGCATCATTTGTTCCAGCAAACATGTTTTATTAAGGAATATAGACATTTTGTGTCTATTGAGTTTGTCAATCTTCCTATCTAAATTATAGACAACTCTTTGCATAAACATCAGTTGTTGATGTATAAAATTTCCATAACTTTTATAATGGCTGTGTCCAAGCTTTCAACTCTCCTCAGGGGTGTGTAATTAGTGTATTATTTGGGAAACGGTAATAGTCATAGTCCAGTTTTATATTTAAATTTAATAGAACAGATCTAAGAACACAGTCCCTCTGTCTATATTTATGAAATGAGGTATTGTAATTATTTACATTGTTTGCACTGTTGTCCTCATGTTTATTATCATATTCACGACATTTCAACCATTGTATACTCCTGCCTTCTTCAGGTGATATATGTCCGAAATGTTCTGAATATGATAATAAAAATGAGGACAGCAGCCTGGACAATGTAAATAGTATAAACAAGAAGTCCCTTCCACTATGTGTCATAACAATGAGCCTAGGATGTGTGGGTGGGATGAAGTTTTTTCTGTGTTTGTGTGATGAAGATTGCTAGATTGGAGACTGTAATTACTTTTATTAATGCATGTCTGCTTTTTTTTTATATATATATATATATATATATATATATATATATATATATAATTTATTCAAAAATTGTAACATGTTGAAATCACTACAAAAATAGCAATTTTGTTTCAACACTTCTAGTATCTTATCAAGTGATGGTGTTGAATGTAGAATAAAAGAGTTTTAAAAGGTTCAAATTGACCAAACACCCATCAATATGTGGAACGCTGTTACATAAGCTGCAATGACCAATCAAAATACAAGTATATGAGAATTCAAAAAAACTTGAGAATTTTATATATATATATATATATATATGTTTGTATTTATGGTTATGTATGTGCTTGTTTATATATTTATGCACTTGTATAGGTATGGTTGTGTGTATATATATTGTGTTTTTGGATGAATTATCTATGCTAACTATAATCTACTTTTGTTTGATAGTGATTTTAAAATTGCTTGAGGACAGTTGTGTTTTGTTACATTTTAATCTTGTATGGACCCTGAATCCTTTGTAATCATTTGGATAATATTGTGTGTGTGTGTGCATATATATATATATATATATATATATATATATATATATATATATATATATATATATGAATAGTGATATATGTATATGAATCTATTTGTAGTGATGTATGTGTATATGAATCTATTTGTAGTGATGTATGTGTATATGAATCTATTTGTAGTGATGTATGTGTATATGAATCTATTTGTAGTGATGTATGTGTATATGAATCTATTTGTAGTGATGTATGTGTGCATGAATCTATTTGTAGTGATGTATGTGTGTATGAATCTATTTGTAGTGATGTATGTGTGTATGTATCTAGTTGTGTGTGTGTGTATACATATAAGTATATCTGAGATATTTGTATATATTTGTGTTTGTGTGTTTTCTTTTTATATATATTAGCTGGTTTTATTTTAAGTGTTGCATTTTGCCTGGATATTTGAATTTGGTGTTGTTTTTTTTTGTGTGTGTGTGTATATTTATTTTTTCTGCCCATTTCTATATATTTGTCTTTTTTCTTTGTGTGGTTAATTGCCAAATATTTGTTTTCCTATTCTACCCCTCTTAAATTTTATCTATTGAGCCCTTTTTTTATCTATACATCTTTGCCCATGTAATTAATATTTTAATAGTTTGTTTGAATTTGTTTACTAACACTTTCAAACTTGAATCTTTGTATGTATGTATGTATGTGTGTGTGTGTGTGTATATATATATATATATATATATATATATATATGTGTGTGTGTGTGTCTTTATTAATGTATGTGTGTATGATTGTTTATATATGCATCTCATTGTATGTATATGTTGTCTGTTTTTTGGGGGGGATCATGAACATCTATTTCCTGTTTCATTCGTGTTTTTGCATGTTTATATATCTAAATATGTCTACGTGTTTGTGTATTATAATCTGATTGTGTATGTATTGTCTTTTGCAAGATTTCATCCTCACCTGCCCATATCACTGCTTCAAATGTATCTAAATTGTAATGAAGTTTTACATCCCCATCAGATTAATGTTTATTCTGAGATTTTGGCTTTTCAATTAAAACAAAATGAATTTAAAAAAATATGTATTTTTTCATCAGTTTCTCCTTTAAATAATTTTATAATATTTTAAACTTAATACAGATTAAATTTAAAATTGGTAATTTTTCAATTTTATAGTAAAATTTAATATTAATTGGAATGATTTCTATTTTAGTCTAATCCTAACATTAAGGCATTAATAAATTATAACCAAGGTTCCTTGTCAAGTTTTTTGAATTCTCATATACTTGTATTTTGATTGGTCATTCCAGCTTATGTAACAGCATTTACCCTATTGAGGGGTGTTTAGTTGATTTGAACCTTTTGAAACTCTTTATACTAAATTCAACACCATCACTTGATAAGACACCAGAAAAAACTATTTATAACTTGCATTTTGTGTTGACTATTTAAATGATAAATATTTATATTATGTAGGAATTTTAAATTTTATTCGCATTAAACTAATTGCCATAAGTATAATCTCTTTAACCAAGCTGCTTGTCATATTAGTTTATAATGCTTTACAAAATGTGCAGATACACCCCACCCATTAATTCTGAAATGCATTAACAAGAAAGAAAACATTAGATGAAAACTGCTTAGAATCTTATGTGCTATAATTTATTTTGAATATTTGGGGAACAATAAGTATGATAGTTTGTGTGTGTGTGTGTGTGTGTTTGTGTGTGTGTGTGTTTTAATAGTCTACATATTTCCTGATAGCTTTTAATAAAGCTTCTCAGAATGCTTTATTTTGAAAGAGAAAGAAAATAGATGATGATAACAATAAAAATTTACACATAACCAAGACTTAAATAAGAGTGGAAAATAAATATAGTATTTTATTTTTGCATTTTCATTATCAATTGTCAACTCTTATCAGACAGAAGAATAATTTTATTGTTGTTGGGTATGCCATGCCTGAAATAATAAAAGAAAAAAAAAAATAAGTTACCTAGCCATCAAATAGTTCCAGACATTAATTCTAAGATTTTTTTGGATACTCACTCAAGAAAAAAATCTTAATATCTGTTTTGGCATGTTTGATTTTACCTATGATACATAAACGCCATGTTTTTATTTTATTTTGCTTTTAGGTATTCATTTAATATTGACTACTATTTTGTAATTGACGAAAACATTTACTTCCTTTTCTGATAGATAAAAGTTACTGGGGTTTAATATTTGGTGCTAACAAAAGATGTATAAATTTTATCTGCTTTTGTATGCCACTCTGATGACATGATTATCTCCCTTACGTGGTCTTTAATTAAGCTGAAACTTCTCAGAATCCTCTTGAATAAATACTAGCTATTTTTGTTGTTGTTATATATATATATATATATATATATATATATTTGCTAGAGATGGCTTAAATAAAAATGTTTTCTTTTTCTAACCATGAAGAAATCTAGCACTTTGAAGTGCTAGATTTTTACAAAACAGACTTTGCTTTAATTTTAAAAAAAAAAAAAAAAAAAAAACTTTGTTTAGGCTTATTACTCAGGGAAACAATATTATTTTCCACTCTTATTAGTTTTTATACAACATTTTTCTCTTAGCTTGAAGGTGATTATGAATTGGACAAAAGGGGGGAAAAGTGGATTATTAAAATGAAACAAGAATATGTAAAACCTTGCATGTGAAATCTGATTGGCATTCAAGCTTCAATTGCATGAAAATGATCCAAGTCTGATATACAACTTTGCTTCTGCTAATTGCTTATTGACTAGAATGATCTAAATTTTAGAATTTAAAGAAAAAGTGTCAAATGAAAAATTTAAACAAAAGATAAATAGTGTATATTAATGACCAATAAAATTTCAAGCAAAATCAGTTTGCTGGCAACCCAATTTTCATTGTCTAACTAAAATAAATTTATGCAGCATTTTTCAGAATTAAAAATGCTCTTGTCTTGCTTCAACTCTTTATTTAAAAATATACAGATTTTTCAAGGGGTATTTAAAGAAAACAGTTTTCTGACACTTTTTCTTTGGATCATATGAAATTAGGTTTGTTTTAAGGCAGGATGTTTTTATTTTATTTTTTATTGATTTCAAAAGCTCTTATGGCTTTGATATCCATCAGGCATTGTGCTTTACAGCTATTTTAATACCACTGCTTACTCTAAACTCCTCTTTAATCTTTAGTCTCCAAAATTAGTTAATTTCAAACTAAATGTCAATGCTCTTCCTATTGCTCATCGGTCGCCTCCTTCACATTAATGATGCCAACCAATACAATAAAAAA